GTCCCCCATACCATGTCTGGTAGGGGTGCCGAAATATTAGGTCTGCATATCCTGTCTGGTATGAGACAACATCCACAGTAGGGTTCCCTATGTACCCAGCCCGTCCACCATCTCTCAGGATATCCAGTAAGACTGTCGTTTTATTTATTCATTTAAATCACACAATTTTCTTACCGTTCAACATTCCTTTTTTTCCCGATTCAACAGTAAACACATCAATTAAACATAAATGCATTCAAGAAAATCAGATACCATCATAAATATAAACTGTAAAATCAATCAACAGAAATCAATAAAAAATAGTTTCCAATTCCGGCTTCATTAGCAACTTGTAATTAATTATGCATTTTTACTAAAATAGTACAAAATATCACATTATTATTTATTTAAACTTCAATTCTATGATAGGGAATATGGTGAGAAATTCTTACTCGATCTGACGTCGAAAAGCTAAACGATTTACTGCACCTATAGGCGATCCCTAGGTTCCCTGATTTTTTCTCTGGGAACTGAAATGCACTTATAGTACCTACAAATGTTCTAAATAAACCCAAAATCAGTCCAAGGGCCTACTCGGCCAATTTCAGAAATCCGACATGGTGGCTCTGCCGTGCTCCGGCGACAGCATCACTGCCCGTAGCGGAGGTCCGTCTCGGGTCAACCGATTTTGCATCGGTTCCTGCTAGCACATACGCTAAAGGGCCTCAATTGGCCCAAAAAATACGAAAAATTGAAACTCACCGGCGGTGGGGCTCTCCGGTGCGGCGGCTCCTCCGACTCATGTTGCAGTTGGGTGTTTCGCTTATGTTGTCTTCTCCGACGAGGGGTTCTGGCGGCTAGGGTTAGGATTTTGTGCAAATGAGAGTTATTTATACTCATCTGCTTTTGATATGAGTTGTTCATCGCGTTTGATCTGGACTGTCCAATCGCAATTAAATAGAGAATGAATCTGAACCGTTCATCACGATCTAATCTGAATCGTCCATCGCGATTCACTATGGTTCGTCCGATCGCTTTTAATCTGGCTATTTGATTGTGTTTGGGAGAGAGTGCATCCAGACTGTCCGTGCTTGTAGGAATGAACTTCAGCCGTTAGATCGCGCACACGCAGATCGCCTACATGGCCCCTCCACGTCAGCACCTTTGCCACTTGGCGCGTCCGTGTTGGTCGGGGCTGCTGACTGACGTCTGACGTGGTAAATTTATTCTAAATTGCGTTTTGACCCTTGATTTCTGATTTTTTTTTCAAAAATACCCTCATAATCTAATTTTTCTAAAATTATTTTTAATTTAATCCTCCATCAATTTTACTCTATTTTATATTAAAATATAATATAATAAATTAAATAAAAAATTATATTTAATAATAATAATAATAATAATAAAAGATTTTGGTGGGTGTTACAGTTTAGGTAGATGATTGGGACCTAGGAAAGTCTGAGTCGAGTATAAGTGTGATTGGATGGAATTGAGTGGAGACCGAGTTGAAATAGGTAAAAAACATTTAAGAGTACCACAGGATTTTGAAGGAGTGTGTGTTCTAAGGTGTCGATAATGGTTGTGTGTGTGTGTATGAGTGGCCATGCGATGGCCGATTGCCAGTAATGGCGAAGTGAGGTGAGTGTGTAGCCATATGATGGCCGGTGGGTGCCAGTGATGGCAGAATAATGTGTGTGTGGTCTTGAAGTAGTCGGTGAGTGCCAATGTAGCGGAACAGTGTGTGTGTGGCCTTGAAATGGTCGGTGAGGGGCGAATAGAGGTAGAACAGTGCATGTGTGGCCTTGTTGGAATAATGTGCGTGTGGCCTTGAAATGGCCAGTGAAAGGCGAACAGAGGTAGAGCAGTGCGTGTGTGGCCTTATGGTGGCCGATGATTGGCCAATAGTAGTGGAATAGTGTGCGTCTGTGGCCTTGAGGTGGTCGGTGGGTTGCTAACAATGGCAAAACTGTGTGTGTGCATATGGCCATTGAGTATATGGTGTGGTGTGTGTGTGAGGCTGCTCAGTGGTCTCTATCTGCTTGTTTGGGTGCTGATTTTATTAAGGTAACCTGTGTGTGTGTGTGTGTGTTCGGCTATTTCATGGTTGGCATTTGCAGAGAATGTTGCATGTGAGAGTATGTAGATATTGGTAATGTGATTCTGCAGGTTTGTATGACTATTTAAGTGCCGCTCCTTGCATGATTTTATACATGAAACTGCTTTGTTGTGTTCCTAGTTTTATTTAGGTAATCTCAGTGGGTTATTTATTGATGGATATTTTTTAGGTACGAAATGTGTAGTGTTATCTTCTTTGGTGAGCCGGTGGTGTTGATGGGCTGGATGAGTGGATTTTGGTTGGGTAGAGTCAGACTGTGAAAATGGGGTGTG